CCCTTATTTAATCAAGCTGGGCAAGAAGCATACTGAGGTGTCATTTTGAAAACACCTTGTAACCCACTACCCACTAACCACTACTACTACCCGTATAAAGTATTCATACATGCATTTGAGAGAGCTGGTATCTTAGGTGTTTGCGATACTTAACGTGCATTTTCCATGACATGAGAGAGTAATAGGATCTGCTAACCAATACCAGACCACAAGACATTTTAAGTCTCTCTAAGTACTTCTACATAATAATTTTTTTTAAATAATAATTGCATTTAGAGTGCGAGCAGTTGTACAGGAAAAAGCTGCTTCCTAAACTCTACTCTTTTCAGTCTGCACCCCTTCACAAGCTAAATATTTTACAGAGGCAGCATCTTTACAATGCTTATGGTTGAACACTCTACTTTCTGCAGTCATGTCTCATTATTTACAAGATCGCATTTAATATATGTATTTTAAAAACCTGGCTTGTCTCAGGTCTTCAAACCAGCAAGTGGGGAAGAAAAAAAAGCTAACGCAATCTGCCCTTTTCTTCAGGAATAGTGATCTACTCATCTTCATAGCTATTCAGTGGTACTTTTACAGTCTGCAGTACATTTACAAGCAAAATCAATACCAAGGTTGGGGGGGCAGGGGGTAGACGTTTGTGTCACCATCCCTGATAACGTTCTAGATGTGTTTAAGGGCAAAAATTCCACCCCAATATATTAGTTTTATTAATCCTTTTCCTATGATCCGTTTGCCTGGCTAGGGAAATTATGCAAAAAGTAATAAAAGTTCTAATTCAATTTCCATGTTAAGAGATGGATTTGAAAAAAAATATAAATCAGAAACCACATTCTTTGTGTTTACTAAGAGATATGCACTCCAACATTTAGTGTCATGGAGCTGGAGTTAAAACCAGAAACGGTGAAGATAATTTAGCTGCATGAATGCCTGCTCTTCAGTAAAATGCTGCCAAAATTAAATAGGAATGAAACAGCACTTTGTAGTCATTGGTCGCTCAGCAGGGTTTGCGTAGTTAAAAACCTAAGTGAAAAGGGTGATTGACCTACATTGCTACTAGCTTAGCACAGCTGTACTTTCATATTTTCACTGCATCTGAGGAAGCTCATTATTTAATACAACTGAGTTACATGTAATTGTCGGTCTTTCATTTTACACTTTTAGGGGCCAGATATTAATCTCAAATGTGCAGCAGGCATTACTGTGCATCTGGAAATATCTGCGGCTGCCCATTTGCACGCAAGGCTAAGAGACAGGATTGCACATAGTTGCACCTGAAATTAGAAGGCTGGCCAGTGGTAGGAGGACCTCACAAATATGCAGAAATCAAATGAGCAGATGGAACAGAAAGCAAATCCCTTGGCACCCCAAAGGCAAACGCTCTGCTGTTTCCCTATTGTTTTGAGCAGAAGCAGCCCAGAATGCACAACCAAAGAGCATTTCACACAACTCATACCTGCGGTTTAAATAAGTAATAACATTCCAGTTAACAACCAGTTTGACATGTTAACAGCCCAAGGGCTGTTAACATAACGACTGGTCATTAATGGCAGTAATGACAGATTTCAAAGGGAATATTGTGCTTGTAAATGGACATGCTGCCAGTCAGAAGAGAGGACAGAGCAGGATAGGCTGATACATTAAGATGTCACTGTACAGCTCTGGAGGGAAAAAGAAAAGGGGAAAAAAAACCTCCTTGCATATTTCACTTACTGTAAATGGACTTGAAATATTGGCATAAACCTAAGTTCCTTAAATTAAGTCTTCACTTTCTAACCCAAGAGTGTATAAGCAGGAGACAGAAGCCTGCAGGGGAATTATACTCTGCATATCATTTTCACAGAGTGTGTTATTTCTAACATTGAGCCCTTTCTTTACCCAAGTCAGTTCTCATCCTCGTTAACAAAACAGAGTTCATTCCTGCTGTTGCCACCCTAATACCCATGGTGTTCTATGCCACCTCTGAAACCACTGGAGTGACTTACATGAATCAGAGTCCAGGGTAAAGCCTCTCACACCCAAAGTATCTTCTGAGCTCATTACCTCATTAAAGATTTCTTCCATTCCCTCAATCCTCCCCAACCCAGAGAAAAAGGTTTTAATACAGTAAAATTAACTAATTTGACCAAAGGAGAGAGCTAAACCAAAGCAGGTTTTGAAGTTCTGAAGATAACAGAGTATTTATAAAAAGCTCACCAAAGCGGGTACCTCAGGGCTCAAATGCAGAACAAGAGTGTGCATCAGGGCCGACAGAGCATTTAGTTTTTTGGCAAGCATCTCTAAATGAGAGATACTGGAAGTATCTTTGCAAATAGCCAAAGACACAGTTTGCAGATTTAACCATGAACGTTAAAGCACCCAAACTGGTTACATTATTGCTTATAGCATCTGTAGAATGGCTGTCTTATTGAAAGACATAATGAACACAGAGAGACAAGTTAATAAGCAATTTTACTCTTTATAGTATCGTGCAAGCCACATATCCTCTAGAGGGCACCACATAAATTAATAGGAAGCTAGAACAGTTTTATATGTAGCAAAGACTCCCTTTATGGTTAAAAAGAAAAAAAAAAATTAAGAGGATAGTTTGAAAGTGTAATCGAACCCTAATCTGATCATTAGTACAAAGTAATTTGTTCTTTAAATTCATATCAAGTGGGTTGCTAAATAGGAAAGCTTATTTGACTACAAAGCTAGAGAACATTTAACTAGTTTCTACATTAGCATTAAAAAGATCACTTTTATAGGTTCACTGCATAACTAAGTAGATAAGACGCAATGAGGCAAATGACTATCTGCAATTACCTTAAGTGCATCAGTTTGAAGTTTAGTGTAAATACCAAGTTTAAATCTATGCACTCACAAGAATCACTAAAAAAAGGCTCATGCCAACATAGCTTCATTAAGACTTGATAAACCCGGAGACAAAAATCAGAAACATCTTAAAACTGATTATAGGATTTCTCATGTATGCTGGTTTCACTGGTGCAAAATATTGTGTATGACAAAATAACCGAAACACCAGTTTTGAATGTGGTCATGACAGATAAAAAATAGAGTCTCCTTTCTCTGAATCACTTACTATGAATTTCAACAATCTGTTAGCAAAATATTTACTCCTGTTAGACCTTCAAAGACCAGGCAGCAGCAGTGTGTGTGTGTGTGTGCGCATCTGTGCTGGGGAAATGCTTTGCTCGTATCTCTACTACTAGATCGCTTTTGGTTTTGATTTTAAAACATTTGATTTTAAAACTTTGGATCTGCTGCACTAGCACTTGGGAGATTCAGTAAGTTCAAAGTCTCCAGTAAATTTGGAACTCAGATCAAAGAGCCATAGCAGAGTTTTCTTATTCCTGCAGGCACTTGTTGTAGAAAGATTCTTAAAATGGGTTTTAAAAATTAGGGTGTTACCTTCCCCCCAGAAGCTGTTCCGACCTCTCTCTATAGATACACTCTTTAAGATCGCAAGTGACCTCGGTTCTCGTACAACAATTCCCTTCTATTCAAACAGCTCCCTGCCAGTTTTTAAAAGAAAGGTTTTGTTACCTACTTCTTTGGCAGCTTTAACACAATGGCCTTAAGATGCAGACTCTACACTAAATTCCCAGCACTCTATCTTGCGTTCAGTTCAGAGTTTTAAGGGGTAGGAGAGCACTTTTACCAAGAAGTAGTCCAAGCCCACGCCTGAAGAACCCCGATCTGCCTTGCAGCCCCAGAACAACAACTGCACGACACATTTGCGAAGGCTTTTGATCCGCTCTAGAAAAAACAGGTTGTAACGTGGAGAGCCAGAGTACTAACGGTTGTTAATAACGCTTTAGTCTTGATTCCTGTTCCAACCTACCCATGCTGTACAACTCAGGAACTGATCGGTGTGTGGGAACCTCCTATTCGGTACCTGTGCTTAAACTGAACTTGTAAGTTAACGCATTCAAAGAGAATTTTAATTTTTCCCCAATGTATTACTGACTTGAATGTCCCTTTAAAAGGAAAAGGCTTCACTACAGGGGCAGGGGAGATATTCCCAGAAGTTCAGGTTAGCCTGGAGCAGCTAGTCTCATTAGGCCCACTCTACAGGGAATGGAGGAAAGCTGCTTTTATAGGAAATAGGTGCTCTGAATCACCCCAGAGGAGCCTTTTCTCTCTATTTACTGTTGAGAGCCTAGGGAGACTAAACTTCCCAATTAAACTTAACTCCTGCAAAGCATCCCTATTTATTCACATACAATCTGCAGATAAACTAGCCTGGTGCTGCTCATCAGTACTTTGCTACGAGTTATACCTCAAAGACTTTTGAGAACGTAGGTCCACAAGCAGACAAGGCGACAGAAAATCAGGTGACGATTAGCTATCTGTGAGAAGTGGCAACAGGTTACCGAGCATCCCACCCAGATCACCCAGTTCAACCAGGACCAGAGTGGATTGGAGCCTACTAGCTACATGGTTATTTAGCAGGGGGAAGACAACTGGTCATCTTGGTCCAGCTTCTAACAGCTAAACGGTAACACTCATAAAAGCTGCCACAAATGCCACAAATGAAATCCCTTGGCAAACTGAGAGGACGAAAATGGGCAGGCAAAGATGAGTGAAGCGCTCCTGACAGAGTTCAAACCCTGCCCTGGAGGTGGTGAAAACCATGCGTGCAGGTCCAGGCCGCTACGCCTGGCCACCGCCGTGCTGCTGGGGGAGGAGGAGGCCACCAGCTCCCCAGGAGCACGGTGCTGGGGGACGCATGGGAGGGTTCACTCTCCTCCTCCTCGAAGCACAGGACCCCAGTATTAGCATCAGAAAACTGGCAGCCACCTGCACAACCTGGTTACGCGTGCTTTTTGATTCAGATTTTAGTCTTATCTCCACGCTTCAGTATTTGTTTTCTCACCCTCCACTTACACTCGGCCTTGCAGCCCTCAAGTACCGCTTATGCAATAGCGACTACGTAGGAAGGGCTGAAGAGATTTACCACGTTTGTCAGGGAACGTAGGAAGGACGCGGCCTACCTCAGATAGTCTCTGCGACAAAGGATAAGGTTGGCTTTGGTGTACAAGGTAGAGCCCACCTCCCCCAGGCGACAGTCACAGCAGGCACATTTCAGGCAGTCTTCATGCCAATATTTGTCCAGGGCCTTTAGGAGATACCGGTCTTTAATCTTACGGTTGCAGCCAGCACAACCTTTCGGCTTGGTGTCTGGCTGGACTGAGAGCATTTGTATACCTGAAATACAACAAGACAAGAGAAGACTGAAAATAGATATTCTCTTGAGTGCAAGTCTCACCCTTTTCTCCCCCCCCCCCCCCCCCCCCCCCCCCAGTTCATTAAAAAGGCAATCGTGTAGATAGGATAAAATAACCTAGATAGTCCACAGCAAGCTGAAAACAATGTTAAGATAAATTTGAGAGCAGAAACTTCCACTGCTCTAAGTTCCACAGCTTCTCTTTAACACCTCATTTACCTGGTCTCTTTGCTGAAAAGAAATAGGATTAAAAAATTAAAATGAAAAATTAAAACAGTTCATTTGAAAAGTCATCCACTTCTGCCCAAAGTATCCAATACTCAGCAACCAAAATTTAAATAAACGGCATATCTATGATGGCAAACATAGCTAAATCTACATATTTGGACCTATTTGCACTATATTCGGAAAATATAAAAGCACTCCAGGTTCTAAAGAAGAAAAGACTGAAGCTGGGCTGGGGCCAGAGTTACAGGGCGGTTTGACATAGACATTTTTGTGCTGGTGGGGGGCTGTTTTGCTTTTTAGGATATCAGTTCTTGTTAGACACATGAATGAAGCAATCAGATTTCCAGAGACTTCCATACCAGCACCTCTAGTTACAACCTGCAGTGTAAGTATCTTCTGAAAAATCTGATTTTAAATAATCTGCACAAGGTCAGAGTGTTGCTAGTTTGTCAAGGGGAAAAAAAGAAACCAAAAAAACCACAAAAAACCTCTTCCTCACTTTCCAATCCCAATCTTAGCCAACAAGTAGTCGGGACAAGGAGTACAGTACTGTCCATTAAGTATATATACATTTTGATGTAATAGCGGAGAGCATTTAAATAACAATTCAAGTGCCTGAACCACTGTTTAAGGGAAGCAACTGGTAAAAGTGGAACACAGTGGAGCAATGGTACGCAGAGCACCGCAGCCAGCTTCCAGAGATCCATACAAAAATCGATTGCCCTCGGTTTTACAGTAAATGGGGAGAGAAGGTCACTGCCCCGCAGTGCTTACAGACTGGTCTCTCTTGGTTAATCGCATGAACTGCCATCCCATTACACTCAGACCAATTCTCTGAAAGTCATTTCTTAGAATAAGCAAAATCATAGCCCTGTGGATGCTTTGTTGGACATCAAATAGGCACCAGAGAGAAAGAGAGAACGGACAGACAGTTTGATCACATTAGGTTGTCTCACTGTTTTAAAGCCAATCAGAGATGTAACTTAAAAAAAAAATCTTACTCATTAGAGCACATCTGAATATCACAATGAGAATTTGTCAAGATTGGGGAACGAATGCTGTTGCCAACAAGCAAATAGTACCCCAAAATTCAGGGTATGACACCCTGTTACTATGCAGAGACTGGGAAAGGTCAAATAGAGTCTGGTAACAAAGAAAAGCAAATTCAAGACCTCCTCATCCAGAACGCTCTACTAGCTAGCGTTAAGAAAGCCTTACAGTCCCAGCTTCTATCAGCAGATCTCGGTTGGTGCTGTAACACACCACTACAGACAGGCAGGCTCTGGGAGCTAGGACATCAACAAGCTGGGGTTTGGGTTTGGTTTGGTTTTTAAAAACTTTCGTAAGGAAAACACAAAAATGAGTGTAATTTTTGAAGCAATGGTACAGCGTGCCGTTATGGATATTAGCTCTAACAAAGACAAGAGGCTAAATGCTACGCCAGCTGAGGTATCCCAGGGATCTCCACGCATATGTGTACGTGGAACATGTTGAATTTACGTGGACTGCAGCGACTGTATAGCCGGTTAAGTGACTTTCCAGGGTTACCAAGCTGAACTCCCAAGTTTCACCTGCAAAGCTGATCATTGAATTAAAAACAGTAATTCTTATTGTGACATATGAGCACAACGGCCTTGCTTTCCTTTTTGCAATACTCTCTATTATGCATTTTGGAGCGATATATTTACCTGTTAAATTCGCCATTCAGCGATATGCAGAGTTCTAGTGGGCACCCTGAAGTACCACGGCAGTACTGCTGCCTAACATCTAAAACTCATAACAAAAGTGTAAAGTCTGTATTTTTCTATCAGTAAGTATAAAAAAATGGCATTGCTGCCTTCCCATTACTCCCCAATCAATGCTACTCATAGCTCCTACACCACTTAGACTCGTAAGATCTGTTTCTTGTTCAGAAGGGGGAGGATGAGATCCAGCGACCTGCACAGGGCTCCATATAAGTCTGTGGCACATCTGGGAACGAACACGCACATCACGTCTTGAGCAAGCACCGTGAGACAAAGACTGAGCCTTTACGGTATCTTCAATTGCCAGCTGACTCCCCTGAATCCAGGGTACATACATGAAGCAGCAAATAACATGGCTATAAATAAATTGCTAAAGCAGTGAAAACATCAGAGATTTTTGGTAAAGAACCTATACCGGACCGTAAGGGGAAGTCCTGCTGGAACTCTAATACCTTCCTTCACTTAGTTGAAAAACCTTAATCTGTAAAGTTGCATATGACAGTAGAGTATAAATATCTGCTAAGTGCCAACTACAGGCTTATCCCCAGACCCTCTCTTTGGCCACGTAGAGGACAAATGCATAAAACTGGCCACAATTTGTATCAACTTCTTGGAACTCAGTAAAAAAGTTCAGAAGCATGAAGGGCTGTTCTAGGACTTTAATCTTTAGCTCGAGGAAAAGCAGGATAAACTAGGAGCTAACACAGTTAAAGGCTTTAAAGAAAAAAATCTTAATGTAAAAATTTTGTCGCCTGATAAGGAAGCGGGTTAGAGAGCGGAGGCTGACAGTCTCTGATGCGGGCTGATCTACTGTCCTGCGCCGTCTGAAGGGAACAAGATGCCACAGAAACAAGGCTAAACAATTAATTATCTGAGCAAACCGCAGTAATCAAGCCAGATAATTCCTGAGGTATATGCTGCAAACACAGGGTTACTGTATTACAAATAAAATCACAGCTTGCACAATCTTGCACGTACCCCTGCACAGTTTTTGAGATATTTGCTGCATCAGGAAAGTAGACAGAGCACTGTCACTCATGTTCGTTAGCCCGCACCCTCCTCGTAGAAGCAAGTGAAAAGGGGCAGACACCCCATGGAAGCAGTGTTAGCAACCCTGCACGTCTATTTTCCTGAGGCTGAGAGAGAAGGTGGTGCTGACATCCCACTGGCAGCTTCTTCAGATTAGGGATTCAATCTGCAGCAGCTTTTGGAGGGAAGGAATGCTTTTCTCCTCTGATAGATCTGATCTTTTCGCACTTTACTTGCAATGATGCTGCTTCTATTTTAATCAAAGTTAAAAAAACAATACCCAAACTATTGCTTCATTATAAAAAAAAGTTACTCTTTTCTTGAAGTGTAGAAAGGTTCTAGACAAAACAAAGCACAAAACAGTGCTCCGAGAAGAGTTTTACATATCTCCATATTCTTTGCACATACCCTTTTCTTCACATGCCCTGGATTAAATTGCTTAATTTTGAAAACAGAATATTTTATTACTTTTTTCTGTATTGTATGAGCCACCTTAATGCAGATCACCTCACAGACCATCTCTCTTCCCTTCAACGTTCCCATAAGAACTCCAATGCAGTTATACTTTTCAGATATGCGCTCGTGTATTTTTAGCTCTCTCTTAATTTGGCAGTAAGAATACCTGCAGCTTACTGTCAGCCAGCTTTTCACAGGCTGCAGTTTAAGTACCCATTTATTTCTTAGGACACAGGAAGGACCCTTTCAGAGGCTGACAGCACCCACAAAACCATCCAAACTGCTCGCCACTGAAATATCAGGTAGCGGCACACAGCACTGCTGCCTGGCTGCCCTCCTCCCCCAGGAAAGCAGAGCTTATGGAGTACTTCCAAAAAACCATACAATACCATAAGTGCTACACCCAGGCTGGGGGGAAAAAAAAATAAAAAAAAAAAAAAATCAAACCAAGCTTTCCCTTCAGTTCTGCAGTCCTACCCATGCTCTGCATCACAGAGCAGATCTGTTCTCAGAACTGAGAAATTTCAGTGCCTAGTCTGTCACTGTCAGACAAACCCTTCTTAGTTCACCCCAATATGCTTTCAAGGGCTTCCTCTATCCTTCCCTCCATTCCCTCCGTCCCTCCACAGTCCCCAAGACACTGCACATAAACTGCAGAGCTGTGTCAAGAACAAGACTTCTTCATCACCAACCACCACCTTTAGGATTTTTGAAGGGAGAACTTAATAACCTGATTTGCAGGTTTTTGGATTTCCCCTCGGTCTCCCCAAATAAGTTCGACGCAACTGACTCCCATCCCTGGTCATTGTTGTTATTGTGGGATGAAACACTGTCAAATGATTTGTAACTGTGATTTCAGGATAAAGAGGAAAGATTGCTTGAAAAAGCTAAATTAGGCTCCTGGAAGAAGGCAGAGAAACAAAAATCCATTCCACTCCAATCATCGCCCTTCTCAAAAATCAAAGGGAATGAAGATTTGACATAATGAACTGTATTTTCTTAGTGATGTAGTAGCATCTGTAAGCAGGATTGGTCCCTGATGGTGCTGAGTGCGGCACAAGACCCACAGAACTCAGTTTCTGGTTTGTGGTACAGACAGTCTTTGAAAGGCATGTTAAGGGAGGAAGAGTTGGATGTTATTATGCACTGGATCACTTAAAAACTTTTAAAGACCACTCTCCTCCCCCCCTGCCTCCTTTGCAGAGGCACGCACACAGTTCTACCAAGGACAGTAGTATGTACAGAAAGGAAGGGAAGACTTGTCTCTACTTTAAAAAGAAAAAAAAAATCAGTTTGGAGCAAATTAAGTATCAGTGCACTGGTCTTTAAAAGATAGCAAACTGACAGACAATATGTAGCCAACAAGAGAGTTAGAGTTCTAGTAGAAGATAAAAAGAATACTTTTCTGATGCTTTCCCACTTTGTAGCTTCATCCTAACAGCGTTCAGAGCTCCAATTATTCAGGACAATACACACGCAGACTTAAAAAAAAAAAAAGTTAGGGTTTCAGAAGCTAAGAAACATTTCAGAACTTGCATGTAGCACATCAGGAGTCGTAACTAGTTTTAGATTGGCATGTAAATTGTTCTGTGGAAAATTCTTATTGCCTCCAAGACCCTGCTATTCTGAGTTATTTGACAGTTTAAGGGAAATCATAATTAAAAAAAGAGACATAAATAATAGCCTGTGCAGTGTGGTGCACAGAAATAAGCAGAACCATTTCATTTAAACTCTGGTGAGCTTTTAATTGCCTGGATTGCATTGTGAACCAGCCTAACGGTTGATTGCCTCCATTATGCTCTCTTGTTCTGTGCCATTCATCCACACAGTCTCAGCTTCTGTAGTTAACACAACAAAGTAACCGCAACTCCCTAACACTCAGGTTTTTTTTAAAAAAAATGAAAGTAAGGATTTTAGTACTCTGAATATAGTCTCTTCTGCATACTTTTGAGTTAATTTTCCATGGTATATAACTAAACTTCACCTCCTGCCCCTTCTTCTACAGAGGAATTGGGCGGGGGGTATTTTTTTTTTTCTTTTTCAATAAAGGAGGTGGGTTGGGAAGTGGAGGAAAAAAAAAAAAAAGAAAAGAGGTTAGGTAAAAACTAAAAATGGGAATGCAGTCCCACAGCTAGGAGCAGTGATACAGATTAAAAGAATTTGGCCAACATGGCCAGTCGCTTGCCAAGAGACACCAAACAAAAGATTTCTCCTCTTCTTTCCCCTTCTCTTTTTGAAAGCTAGATTGGGCCTAAAAGCTTGTTTCTCTCTGTTCAGTGGCCCAGAGCATCCCTGCAGGCTGTAGCCCCCTAAGGGACACCACAGCAAATAGATGTACCCGGCTCGCAGGGACGGGAGCTGCTCAGCTATGTTCCTACCCCTGTCGTGTCCCCCCACCTCTCTCCCCCCGGCCCCCCCCGCTCCCTCCCTCCTTTTTAGAGCAGCGGTGCTGGGAACCAATTTGATTCCCTTTTTCTCCAATGCAGCTGCAAGGCTCAGAGATACTGACATTTTTCCACTCTTATCAGTTTAATTACAGTTACCATGGCAGCAAAGTGCTAGTGCTTGGCAAAGGCCAACAAGAGATTTGCAAGACTGAGTTCAATTTTGATGCAGCTCACATGCAAAATAAAAAAATAAATAAGAAACATACACTCTACAACAAAGAATCCCTTTCGGAGTTAGACGCTCGAGCCTTTTGTGCTAATTCCTTTTCAAGCATCCCAGGGATGGGGCGACGGGGAGCGGAGGGGAGAGGGAGGTGCGGGCAAAGCATGTGCCGATATTTGTCGCACCCACCCGGATTAATCGCTTTAAGCGGCGCTCCTACAAAGCTGTCCTAGGCAGCGGCGTTTGGGGTCTCCTCAGAGCACACGCGGACGCTCGCTCCGCACCGCAGTCGGGATGGAGGAGGAGAGAGAAGCCCCCTCGTCTCGTCGTCCCCCCCCGCCCCAAGGCGCACCGCTCCCGCTCGGTGCGCTCTAAACCAGCAGACCGCCGCCTTACCAAAACTTTTCTCCTTTTTCTGCATGAGTTGATTTACGGGCGCCCGCAGAGCTCCTTCTCATCGAAGCACCCAAATCCCGGCCAAAGTAGCAAGTGCTTCCCCCGGCTGCGGGTCAAGTGAGCGGGAGCGCGGCA